ATATTTTACTCTAGAAGTATTGCGTACATATCGAGCCCTAACCGCCAAAATAACGTAAGCGACATTTTTTTCAATATTTTCTTTTTGATGCAGAAATATTCGTAGAGCATCTAGACGCATTTCTGCATTAAAAATAAAATTTTGAAAAAAATGTCGGTTACGTTATTTTGGCGGTTAGGGCTCGATATATTCATCAAACTGTTGATTAAGTAACCTAAGAACATTTCAAATTTAAATTATTTAAAAAAATAAAAGCTTCAGTTGTCATGGCAATGTACCTTCTTATAAAAATCACCCTTATTTTTGCCAGTTTCACAGCGATTCAGTAGCGCGTTTCAAGGTCATTGAGCACCCTGTATTGGTTGCAGTAGAAAACTGAATGTTGGTCTTGATATTACAAATATTAAAAGGAAAAAAATAAGGGGGTGCCCCGTTTTCTAGGATGAAAATTTTTTTCCCCATACAAAAATTGGGACACTTTACTGTACATACATACGTTTGTTATAAGTTCTTTCATAATTATTATTCTCGTTCTCTTCATTTTCTTCTAGATTGAATCCTTTTACTTGTCCTCAATGTCGACATCCTAACCCAGCATTTCACAAGATATATCTAAATCTTGAAGAAACAGGAGATGGTGAAAATGTAGAACTCTTAAAAACTACACTAAGTGAAACCGAACTCAAATTACAGAAAATGGAAAAGATAGTCGCATCTGAAAGATACAGCCAAATCTTGTCAAGTTCAAATAGTAACCTTTTGATGGAACCATTTGGAAGGCAAGCAGTAATAATAAAAGGAGTTTCCATAAACGACATTAAAAGTCCGCTTGCTGAGACTGTTTTGATGCTAACCAACATTATGGATCTTCCATGTGAACATGCGGATATTGAAACGGTTTTCATATTAGATAGGAAGTATCTTTTAAGAACTCAAAACCAATGTAACAAATTTAATGTCGCGGTAAAATTTAGCACAGAGGAGATGAGAAATCTTTTTATGGACAAAAAGTCAATGCTGGTTAGTAAAGGAATAACATTGACTGAATATGTGGATCAAAACACAAATGAGTTATTTACATATGCCAAATTACTGACCACTCGGGACTTCAAACACGTTTTTTTCAGAAACAACTGTATTTTCGCGCAAAAAAATGATAATGACATTTTACATCAAATACATTCTAAGCAAGATGTTGATAGAATGCTTGCTTAGAAGATTTTATAACATAAATGTGTATATTACAAATACTTGACACATAAATTAAAAACCAATTTCCCTTACCATTAATATCATTTCATTTGTTGTCCTTATTGTTTAACCTTGGAGGTGCATGCGAAGATTTTTGGGTATTGCGTTGTTGTTGTTGTTGTTGTTGTTGTTGTTGTGGCGGCTACTAAGCCCCGTTCGGGCCGGTTCATCCATCAACGTTTTCGTCAATTTCAGCTAGGGGGAGACCCAGGAAGTGTGCAACTTCCACAGGGGCTGTCCATAGGGACAGGGGAGTCAGCTGAGTGGGGTTCTCAGGTCATGTGAAGAGGTGCCGTGAGTCATGTGGCGACTCTGAACATGCCGGGCATTGGTTGGGCACATCCTCGTTGATTCTGCTTAAGTATGAATTTAGCCTGCTGCAATAGCCAGAGCGAAGTTGGGCTATTGTAGTGCGGGTCTCCCGAGGCGGACAAAGTTCTGTCCCGTCCACGTCCGGTGGTTGTGTGCCTAGGACGGCATTCACAGGGCGGGAGTCTACATAACTTGAGACTGATTACCTGTGAATGCCGTTCAGGACCTGTCGGTAGGTTGACGGGTCCAGAGGCTGTTTGATAAACCTCTGGACTTCGTCCGTCAGTTCGTAAAGATGCCTCCTGACGTGCCTTGGCGAGGGCTCTTCCGCGAGCAGCTGTCCGCTGGGATGGCCACGTCTGTGGCTTGTCATGTAGGTGGTGTTGGAACGTCATCAGGAGGCATCCTATCGCTGATCGTAATGCCGTGTTTTGGCAGGTCTGTAGCTTCATCCACTGCGTCCTGCTAGTCCCCGGCGACCATACGGGCGCTGCATAGTTTAGAACCGGCCGGCCAATTGCCTTGTATGTTGCCAACAACGTTTCTTAATCTTTGCCCCAATTGCTGCCGGCCAGCGACTTGAGGACATTTTTGCGGCTCTGTACTTTGTTGACAATTGCGGTTGTATGCGCCGAGAAGGAGAGCAGACTGTCGAAGGTAACTCCGAGGATTTTCGGGTTGTTCACCGTCGGTATTGTTACGCCATCGACGTGGATACCCAGTTGCAGTCTGACCTCCTTCGTCTAGGTAGTGAAAAGGGTTGCCGAGGATTTCGTAGGGGATAGGGCAAGGCTCCTTGTAGTGAAGAAGCGAGAAAGTTCGGCGAAATAACCGTTTACTTTCGAGCACAAGTCATCAATTCCATTCCCAGACGCCATGATCGAACAATCGTCCGCATATGAAACAATGTTAACACCCTCTGGTGGTTGAGGTAGCTTTGAGATGTAATAATTAAACAGTAGCGGGGACAGGACACCACCCTGTAGTACCCCCTGTTAATTTTACGTGGCTTCCTAGTTATGTCTCTGAAGATTACTGACGAGTGTCGACCACTCAGGTAATTCGCCGACCACCGTTTGAGTCCCTGTTAGAGTGAGGAGGCCTCTATATCTTCTAGTAGCGTTGAATGACTGACAGTGTCGAACGGTTTGAGCAGTGGGACCACTCTCCCTATTTTCCAGATGTCTGGAATGACGAGAGTGGTCATAGACAGGTTGAGGACCTCCGTTAGGTATGCTACTCTCGCAGGACCCAAAATTTTCAGCATCAAAATGCATATTCCGTCGGGTCCAATGGCTTTGGAGGCTTTCGCCTTTCCGATGGCTACCCTTACCTCACCGCTGGTGAAAACAAGAGGCGCACTGGGTTTTGGCATTTTGTGCAGCCTTCTGGTCACTCGACGTTTGGCTTTATCCAACGGGGGATGCACAATGAACTTCCGGCTAAAATAGCTCGCGTATCGCTCCGGGTCCGACGAAGCGTGGTCACCAAAGTCTAGCTCGACTCTGTCGTCACGCTTCGTCGGGTGGGACAATGACCTCACGGTTGACCAAAGCTTGCTCACACCAGAGGCGAAGTTGCAGGTCTTCAAATGCTCTTCCCATTTCTTCCGCTTATGTACGTTCACAGGTTGCCGAATCTCCGAATTGAGATCCCTGATACGGAGATTTCCGGGATCGGCCTGACGAAGGTTGTCGCGCTCATCGGCTAAAACAGCCGCTTCAGCAGGAAAGTTGGGACGTGGATCCTTAATACATCCGGCTGGGATGAAGCGAGCTGCAGCAGCGGTGACAACCCTGCGGAGCTTACGTTCACCTACATGAACGTTGGTTGGTATGGGTAGTGCAGTGAAGGCGCCCTCAGTAACATCCGTGAAGCCTTTCCAGTCAGCTTTGGAAAAGTTGACATAAGTCCGGTGATCAACGGAAGCAAAGTCGGTAGGTTTATCAATCGAGATGACTATGGGCAGATGGTCTGATGCTAGGGTCAGCATAGGTCGCCATGATACGCTGTTTATCAGACCAGCGCTGACAATTGTTAGACCTGGCGAGCTGCAGTAGCTGCCCATAAACCTGGTGGGTGCGTCGTCGTTCATTGTGCAGAATGTCGATGTACATACATACATACATACATGTGGGAATCAACGCACGGACCACTCGTAGTGGGAATGAGTACTGACTCACCGACGCACTAACGTACACCCGTACTTAAAAACGCAACCCTGACCTACTACAATACTCCACACTGCCAAACGAACCAAAGTACGAATAAAGAGAAACATACAACGACAGTCATCAAACTACCGCGACCCAACACACTTCGTACGCTGCAACCGATGTAACTAAACGTTTTAATAAAATATTAAATAAATATATGTATACCCGGCGTTAACCGATTTTAAATGTAAAAGAGTGTTTTATTCCGAAGTAGTAAGGGCCTTCCTACATACATTACATATATGCCCTGGGTTAGACTCTTTGCCAGCCCTGAGCAGAAGGGTACGGAGAAGATGTAGCCCTAGAATCGAGCAACGTTTGATGGATTTCGCCGACCTAAACGGGGTTAGATCGCCGAAACAACAGCCCTTGGTCGGGTAAAACCCGAGTCATTCCGGTACGTAGAACCGGCTGTCGTGGGAATGTGGGTATTGCGTTGATTTTTCCCGCATACTTACGGTGACCAGATTTCTGTGGCCAAAAATCGGGACATTTCTAAATCATCGAATCCGAACATACAATTATGTTTTTAGAATAAAAAGACATAACATCTTTTAGTACAGTTTTTATTTAAAACAAACGAAAGAGAAAGTAATAATCAAAATTTATCGCAAAAATCTATACACACAATATATACGGTGGCGAGAGTGTAAATAGAGAAAAGACATTTTAGCAAGTTTTGGCTACTTTTCTTTGTTTAACAAATGTTTTTGAATTGTCTTGAGTATGCAGTTCTTTAGCCCATTAAATTCTGGTATAAAAAATGCAGGTTCGGAGTTAGTCAAAGATCGCATTGATTTTTGAGAATTTTTTTGGTTGAAGGTGTTTTGCATTTTTTCCATATAAAGTATTTACTAAAACTTTTTTGTATGGAAGACTGCGTGAAAAAAATGGCCAAAAATCAACGGCAATTCGCAGCTACTTAGAACTTCTACTTTATTATTACTACCTTATATTTAAAAAAAAAATCTTGTAGGTCTTATCGCCGAAAAGTTGAAATTGCTTATTTTGCGTATTCGGGGTTTAAAAGCTTAATTTACATACCTTTTAAGTAAATGGTCAAGAAAAAAATTGCTATTATTTATTTCGTGTGTGTGAACAGTAGTCTCCACTGAGTTTTGACATCTAATATTTTACAGCCTGCTGTCTCATTTTTTCTTTAAGAAATAATGGAACGGGCATGGCGGTTAGGGCTCGATATGTACGCAATACTTCTAGAGTAAAATAT